AGTTCTGGAGGCCAGAACTCTGACATCGGGCATCTTTACACTTCTGGAGGCTCTAGAAAACACGCCTTCCTGCCTTTCCTAGCTTCTGGGAGCCCTGGAGCTTCTTGCCCCATGGCTGTATCTCTCCTGTCCCTGACTCCTTGCTTGTGTGACCTCCTTTTCTCTCCCATATCTCTCTTTGCTTCCTTCCCAGAAGGATACTTGCCCTTGGATTTAGAGCTCCCCCAGATCATCCAGGGTGATCTCCTCACCTCGAGATCCTGGACTTCACTACATAAGCAAAGACCCCTATTCCAAATAATATTCCATTCCCAGGTTCTAGGGATGAGCACATGGCCATACCTTTTTTGGGGGGCCACCATTCAGCCCACTGCAATATTTAAGGGTTTGGGGAGAAAAGGAAGCCAAAACACAGACACATCATCTCAGGCAAGAACAATATCACCAGTTTGATTTGTATAAACCAGGCCGGTCATACAGGACACCCATCTGGGATCCAAAGAGAATCACTTTGTGTTAAAACAAATTATTGCCATAAACAACTTTCAGACAAAGACCTTATGAGCAGACAACAAAGGTCAGATAGGCAAGTATCATATATTTTATAACTACTACTTTGACCTGTATTTTCATTAATTTAATTTTTATTACTTCAGATTGCTTTACTATCTCCTAATCTATTCACTTTTCTCACATTAAAATTTAGGACCTTCAAAATACTATTTCCTATTAGAGTTAGTTCAGAATCACCTTAATGGAAATTCAAATTTCCTGAGAGCCAATGTCTTTTTCCAAATCATAATTCTTCTTTCCTTCAAGATTCTTAATTTTAAGAGCCAATAAAATTAGACACACTTCTGGATTTAATGCATATCCATCATTTAAATCAGCACTGGAAATTTAAGAGCAATTCCTAAAACAGCTAATCCATATATGATTTAAAATTTGCTAAAACAAATAACAACAAAAAAAACCCCTCAGCCTTTTTTAATTCAGATCCATGCTCATTAATGAGACCCTGTTAATATTTCATGCACAGCCTCTTCCCATTTACTTTAAAATATTTCTGTAATGGAGATTGGAAAATACACCAAGTTCCTATGAGTAATGAAAAATTCAAATGTGTTTAGGAAAGATCTTCAGCTATAATTCAAATAATGTTGCTTAAACATTTCTAAAAGGACCTAGGAGCCTCTGCTCCAAACAGGATTCAGAAGCATGGTGGGGTCTTGTAGTCAGAGCAGAAGAGTCCTTCCTGGCGGGCTGGATGTGAGTATCATCACCGGCCACAGTGATCATCCTTCCCGTGAGAGGTAAGTTTTCACTCACGAAACCAGGTAACCCAGTCACAGAAGAGCACATGGTGATCCGAGCGACACGCCAGCCCATCCATCTGGCCAAAGAAGAGGCCACAGAGAAACCCAAGAACCCCAGAGCTACTGAGCTTCTTCCCTGGGATCAGCTTTATCACCAAAGGGCCCTTCAGGAATGCTCATACTACTGTCCAAAATAGATCGTGCATGCTGTTTCTAAACCAAGTAGCTCTTTGCTATGTCTCTTGATTTATAAAATGCAGAGTACGCTGCTTTCCTTGAAAATGCGGTAGCTCACAATTAAATATATGTAGCTACATCTGATGATTAGAAAGGCATATGGCTTGACATATTGCCACAAATTACATATAATCTATACTGTAACATGTGAATGAGTCCTTAGGGAGTCCTTGGGCTAAGACTCATTAGTAGATCTCAGTAAAATGAAAGATTTTTATAAAACCACAAAATTGACTCCAATTATGGAAAATCCTGCTTAAAACATAAAGGCACTTTTACAGAAAAATTCATAATTCCATGGGGTTTGTCTCTGTGGCAGCTAATCGATTGACTGGCTCTGCTCTGCTTTATTGCTACCAGAGCTCAGCGAAATAACTGTATTTATTCAAACTGTTCACTGTTTTTCCCCAAATTAAAAAAAAAACAAAACACTTGAAATTGAAATTCTATTAAGTGGTTGTAGAATAATTTTTAAAAGCAAACAAATAATTAATAAACAAAATATTATTCCAAAGCTTGGTCCCATTCCATTTAATGCAATTAGCATTTACTGAACAATCTGATACACCTCCAAGATTCAATACAAGGCGGGTCAGGTACAGACGGACTTAAGATAGCTTCCATGAAACTTAGAGGAAAATAGGAAAGTAGTTTTCCAAAATCACCACTTACGTCTTACTGTAATATTTCAACTAAATCCTATGAATTAGTAAATGCTCAATATGAAGAAAATATAGATTAAAAATTCAAATACAGGACTAGAAGGTTTGCTACCATTATAAAAAATGTTAAAGGCTAAATCTCTCATATGTAAAAGGTAGTTAATAAGTTAATAACACTCTAGGAATGCGTGCGTGTGTGTGCGTATAAAATCTTGCACTGAGGCCCTCTCCACGGCCATTCACCCCTCGGCCCTTCCCATGGCACTATGATACTACAACGTCTCCCCAGGGTGCTCCTGGCCCACCTGTTCCATTCAGGTGTACCTCCTGCTGACCCTGTCCTCCTTCTTTTCTCTTGGTTTTCATGATCAATTTCCTATTCCTTTTCTCCATCTTATCCATGTTCTTCCTGAGTGAAATTACCAAGATACACATTTCCACAAATATGCCCATGTTTCTAAAAACAACCAACCTCTTTTATTTGTCACATCCTATTGAAGTTTCTACTAAAAACTTCAAATTCAAAACGTCTACACTGAATATCTTTCCTTCCAGACTGCCTCTTCTCTAGGATTCCTCTCGTGGTTGGCACTGGAACCATCCATCCACAGTGGGGAGACAGACACCTGCCATTTCAAGTTATGGCCCCTTCCCTGTTTGGGACGTCCCATCAGCCAGCACGGCAGCCTCGTCTTCAGAACACCACCTCTGCGATCTTCTGCTATGGTCCAAAGGCAGTTCTTGCTTGAGTGTTCCCATAACCGCCTTCTTCTTTCCCCCAATCCATCCTCTACCGTGTTCTCTGTTTTCCTTACTTCATCCCCCACACTGTCTGAAAATATGTGGGGAGTTAACACCGTCGAGAGGACAAAGTCCTGAGTAGTACATGTATATTTATTCATGATTTGGTCCAAAAACAGTTTTTTTAAAGACTTATCTCCAGCCAATCTCTAGAGACTTAACTGTACTTCTTGTACCATTTCCCAAATGCAGGGTGGGTGGACATGGCAGAAGGGCCCACAGCACTCTCAGCAATAGCCGCCTTCTTGCACCGCACACGTTAGAAGGTGGGAAAATTCCCAGGCTTCCTTGCAGCTAGCATCTGATTGTTCTTTAGCTTCTACCAGTCTGGCACTACCGCTCAAGATTCCAAAGGTAGGCGTGGTGGAGGCCGTGCTTCAGTTGCGTCTCCTGTGTGTCTCATAAGCATGTCATGAAGATGCTGTCTTCTCTGGCAATGGAGACCTCCCAGCCTGGTCACTGGCTCACTGACTTCTCTGTGCTGACTGCCAGCGGATGGGCACTTTCCTGGTGTCAGTGGTGGGTGGCGGGAACTGAGGGTCAGTACCTGGGGCAGCAGCTTCTCCATTTGGCTGGAAGCCTCTGGATCAAAGACGAGGCCACAGTGATGTTGGAAGCCCCATCCTGTGGTGTGGTTTTGAGTCATTCCTGAACGTTCAACTTAGAGTCTCCCGACAATTATTTTCCTACACCAAATTATTTTCCACTTGAACAGCGATAGTGGATTCTGTCCTAGGCAACAGAGTCCTGGGGGATGACATGCCATTCAAAGGTCCATGTCTCCACCAGAATGCTCCTTCCTTTTATCCTTACTGAGCTCTAACATCCCCAAAGGCCTGGGCCACATTTGACCTCCTCTAGAAAATATTTCTACACTTTCTCTGGGAGCCAAATGATTGCTTATTTCTCCAGGATAATACAGAACTTGATTAATATTACCCATGTTATTATAAGTAAATTATATCATAATTATTTGTTAATTTGCCTTTTCCTTATTTGTCGACAGTGAGATATTTGAGAGCAAGGAATATGGTTTCTTCATCTTTGCTTCTCTAATGCTCTGGGTTTGGAATCTAGTAGAGTCTCAGTGAACAGGGACTGAAATGACCTGAAACACACTAACTGGAGGTTTCACCCTCCGATAGGTAACTTCGGCTAAGCGCCAAATGGGGGAAACCCAGGGGCCACAAATTCATAGGGGGATGACAGTAACCATAGATGGGCCTGGATGGAAGGTAAATGGAACGTGGATTCGAGTATCAAAAAATGAATATGATGTGACCTTGTGAAGAAGGAGGGTATTTTAAGCTGGAGCAGGAGGAGTGGGAGCTCCAAGGCGTGTGGAATGCCGGAGACAGTGAGTGGATTAGAAAAGTCACCTGAACAGAGGTTTTGGCTAAGGGGGTTGTGACACAGAAGTCATGGCTAAATCAGCTCAGAGGGGCCTGGGATATTAGCCCAGCCCAAGGGGTGTGAGGTTTTTGTAGACAGGTAAGAGGAAGTCCTTGAAGGCGTTTAAGAAAGAAGCGCCTTTTACTAAGCTGGTTAGGGAACTGAGAGAGGGTGGAGAGTAGCTCTCTTTACTCAGGTTGACATACTTTAAGAAAAATAATTTAATACTAAAAACTACATTGAGGGCAAGTAAAGTCAGAAGACGAATATCTGCTTGGATAATGAAGGGATCCCAAAGTGCAGAGCAGAGCCGTCTGTATTAAAACCAAGGCGCTTTTGCTCACATTATGTTATAATCTGGGGAACATTACGGAAGGATCTGACCACCTGCTTCATCACCCACATTCTGAAGATGCAAAGTCCTCCTCAGGTTAAAATAAAAGAGCTTAGAAAAGTAAAATTGTGTGGGTTGTTTGCCCAACTTCCGTTCATTGAAATAATAAACTCTAAAATGTCTAAAACTTGAAAGCTCGTCCTGAAGACGTTTGGTCCCCTAGCGTACATGCTGTATCATGCCGCTCTTGGCACTTACCCTTCCTGCGTAGTGCATGGTAGTGAACGCCGTGCCCTGGTCTTTGAGCGCCATGTTCCCGTTCCCATCCTTCATGGGGGAATAGACTGCATTTGTGTTTGACGATTCGAGGAGACTTTGTAGCTTTTTGGGAAGATTTGGTTCCATTGACCAAATCATCTGACTTTCTTCATCCAATAAAGAGAGAAATCCAGATGGCTTCTGAAAATCAAGAAGAGATAGTATTTTTCTTCTATTACTCAGTTTGATGGTTTTGTTATTATTGTACATGTATGCTCATTTGTATTTTCATTATGTTCATATAAGCACTCAAAAAATGAATTAGTCTACTTTTAATACACATTTATGTTTGCTCACTACTGTATCCCCAACACCTAGCAAAATTCAGATGTCACGTAGGCCCCAAACAGCATTGGTTGATTAATAATTGATAATGAATAAATCAATTAAAGAGTGTGTTTTAATGTCATTCAAACGCTGGAGTTATTAAAAATTATATTGTTGGGCGCCTGGGTGGCTCAGTTGGTTAAGCGACTGCCTTCGGCTCAGGTCATGATCCTGGAGTCCCGGGATCGAGTCCCACATCGGGCTCCCTGCTCAGCAGGGGGTCTGCTTCTCCCTCTGCCCTCTTCCCTCTCGTGCTCTCTGTCTCTCATTCTCTCTCTCTCAAATAAATAAATAAAAATCTTAAAAAAAAATTATATTGTCATCTCAAAAAGAAAAATAAAATTTCCAACTAAAGGAGAAGTGTAATTTTTCTTGACCTCTAACCCGTATCGACCGTTTCACAGTTATGATGGGTCAAGTAACTTCTCCGAAAACAGAACCTATAATCATTTGAGTCATAAAAATTGTAGAAAAACCCTATTCAGCAGGAAGTAGAAGTGACTCTAATATTCAAATATTAAGACCCAGAAAAAATAAAGTTGGAAGTTATAACTTGTAAAATTCAAATTACAAGTCTGATAGTTTATAGCTGTCAAACACGGAAGCTAAAGTCACATATAAGCAACCACTTAAAATTAATCTCACATGAAGGAAAACGCTGCTTGAAAGAACTTCTCAATTTACCCTGACAGTTCGTTCCCCGCACACAGAGCACCACTGTGCCCGCGTGGTTTACACATCAGGTGAATAACTCTGACCCACTGCTGTGCTGTTTATCTTTTTTTCTCTAGGAAAGTTCTTCTGTTGACATGTCAAATCTACCTTTAAGAAGCAGGTAATTTGTATTATTTATTTACCTCATTCTGTCATATATCTGAATTCTTCACATCAACTCAAGTGTGCTTTTGGAAGTGTGAATACCATAAGATAATTCTTCTCAGGAAGTGAAGAGGTCTCTATTGGCCCCTATAGCCATTCGGTTTGTATTTTGACCCGAGGTCACCGAACCAAACCACCACAGGCCTCTTATATTATTCACTTGGCCAAAAGAAAGTTGTTCCTTTGTGGCTGAAATATTTTAGTTGTTTTAAGCCTTTTGGAGTTTCCTGCTTATGGTAAAGAAAATGCAAAGACTATATACAGTTGTCTCAGGGCTGCAAACGTTGAGATCCTTCCAGTGCCACCCACAGAGAAGAAAGGTTGGAAGCGGCAGCCATGGGAAGGACCTATGCCTGGTTGGGGCTCACGTACCAGGGGGAGCCCTTTGGGAGACATTTGGCAACTGAAGGACCATCTCTGGAATAAGCAGACAGATAGCCTCCCTGAGAAGGAAGGAGAAGAATGAATGATAAAGGGGCAAGGGGCACTAGAAAGGAATTGGGAAGGCCTGCAAGAAGCAAGCTGACCCACCTCAGCAAACGACCTAGGTCACTAACACCTCTGGGGACTTGTGTTACCAACACAGAAATGTATCTGATAAGGGGATGTGGTGAAGGAAGTCCAATGTATGGTACATTCTCAGATAACCAGGGACCCAATAAAGAGTCAGAGGTGAAAAAAAATAAAAGTATGGGTACACAAAATGGATGGAGAGAGGCCCTAAAAGAAAAACCAATAAGGAGTTGGCAGAGGAATGGTCTTGCCTGGGATTTGTTGAAAGATCAGATTCTTCATTTCAATGTATAGCATCCTATGTGCTGAAGAGTAAGACGTTGATACATAAGATCAGCAGCTGCTTCTTTACCTGTGCATTTGAGCATCACACCATGACACTCCTCCATATACTGTTACACTTACCCCCCCACACACACGCGAGCACACACAGACACCAAGTGGAAGGGTGAATGGGCTAGTTAAGGATGTTGCAAATGCATCCATGTTTTGGGGGCAGTGACAGACCTCTTTGGAGGCTAGAATTTAGAGCTCTAGTGGGTGTTTCAGTAACTCAAAGTCAAGGCCCCAAGTAGTATAAGGGAAGGGATGACTTCCAAAATAGCCCAAGTGCTCTACTCCAAAAGCAAGATGATGTTTTCCAAGGATAAGGTGGTCGGAAACCAACAAGATATACTTTTTTAATTCTACCAAATATTTTATTTTTTTTTAATTTTTTAAAAATTCAATTAGCCAACATATAGTGCATCATTAGTTTTTGACATAATGTTCAGTGATAGATTAGTTGTGTATAGCACAAGGTATTTTTTTATTATTTTTTTAAAGATTTTATTTATTTGAGAGACAGAGAGAGAGAGAATGAGCAGTGGGGAGGGGCAGAGGGAGAGAGAGAGAAGCAGACTCCCTATGAGCAGGAAGCCCAACACGGGGTTCGATCCCAGGACCCGGAGATCATGACCTGAGCCGAAGGCAGATGCTTAACTAAGCCACCCAGGCGCCCCAGCACAAGATATTTTTTTAAAGCATTACAATTTGGATTGTCTCCAAAAGTTTTAAAATTCATATGTATTATGTTTTCTGGATGTCTGATATAAAGCCATGAAAGAATGGTGGTAATCAAACTTACAGACTTGGAAACTTGGTGAAGTGTCTGAAGAAGAAAATAGAACATGGAGAAGAAGTCGTAAAAAATGGCCTTCAATTCCTTCAGAAATGAGGGCTTAGGAGAGACTGAATTGTTCTAAGAAATGTATGCCATTTCACCTTGACAACAGAAAGCACTGAGGACCGACAGGGTAACAAAATGCACTAGACATGTAGAGAGTCAGGTAAGAATCTGGATCCACCTCCTCTGGTCATGGACATAAGACAAATACGTGTTCATTGAAATATGGATGTGGCTTAAGCAAAAATCGCAGATGTTTGTGAGCAGTAGAGGATTATGGATCCTCGGAAGGAAACAATAAGCTTCCTTTCTACTATAGGGTATGCCTGCCTGGTACACAGACCTGCAAATTTGTAGGTAAACACCAAGCTTCCCCCTATACTTGGTACATCTTTTCATTTTTATGGGATCAAGGAGAAGTAGCAGTCAGAAATACCCACTCTCATTTCCAACTCATACCGATGAGGGTCCTCTTATTGAAATAATCATCACTCCATGGTGAAATCTCAAGGATGGCCATCAAAGAGAGAGAAAGAATATCATGGCCATCGAAGACACAGAAAGAACGTCATTCTGCTGGCTGCCGGTTAGCAGTCGAGAACACAGCAGCCAGCAAGAATGAGGGCAGCAGGTGTCTGAGGCTTCCCATACACAGTTCACTATATATTGCTGTTGGTTTGAAGACATTTTTTTTAAAGATTTTATTTATTTATTTGACAGAGAGAGCCACAGCGAGAGAGGGAACACAAGCAGGGGGAGTGGGAGAGGGAGAAGCGGACTTCCCGCTGAGCAGGGAGCCCGATGTGGGGCTCAATCCCAGGACCCTGGGATCATGACCTGAGCCGAAGGAAGACGCTTAATGACTGAGCCACCCAGGCATCCCTGTTTGAAGACATTTTTAAACCTTACATAGAGAAGTTATATACCATGTGTGTCATGGTGAGGGAGAGGTTTCTGGAGGAAGAGGGCTTCTTCTGTCATTAAAATAAAGAAGGTTGACAAGTTGGTAAGAGGAACAAGAGTATTTTACATACTAGGTAAATGTATAAAATAAATTTACAAGTCTACATTTATAGAAATAAAGGGTAGAAAATTACAGCCTATGTTCTCCAGTGGCTGAAACGTACCAGTTTTAAACAATGTTCAAGTGTTTTAGAGATATTATTGATAGATGTATATCATGTCTTACTACATCATTACAGAGGGATTGCTGTTTGTATGGTAGATTTTTGTTTTTATGATAGAGATATTGAGGCAAAGATTCTTGCATTATAAGGTAGAAATAATAAAGGTAAGGGTCGACACCGGCAGATGTCCTAAGACTATATGTACGTAAACATATTTTTCTGCCAATGTTTTTCCATATTTCAATTTAAAAACTTTGAAGATAAATTAAAAAGATCCTGTTGAATTTGTTCTATGGAGCTTGTTAGTCTTAGTATTGTTCTATAAAATATTAATTTTGTACATTGAGCATCTGTAACTACGCCAAAAGAAGAGTTTTATTGACATAACCAACGCTGAATATTTTTATAATAAAATGATCTGGTATTTCTGGTCCTTTCAATGAACTGATGATCCTTCAAATGCCCCTTCAGGAAGAGGGTAACTTGTACTCCTGAATCGACTCTGAAAAAATAAATTTCTGAAAACATTCTGAAAAATAAATACAGTGAAGTTCAGATATAAAGCCATCTCAAAATTAAGGCCCCTTGAAAGAAAATTCTTTGTCTTCAGTATATTTAAATCCTGTAAAGTATCTAATTATATTATATGAATACCTGGAAAAAAAAATCCAAAACTCCAGTCTGGTTACCAGGAGAGTAAGTTGTTTCCATGGTAACTCCCTCTTGTACACATTCTGTTTGCTCGTGTAGAAAAAGCACTTCATTGATGTAGTGGTGCATCTTCTCATTGGTCATGTTGACACAAAGCTATTTCGGGGGAGAAAGAAAACAATTCACAAGGTAATTATGGCCATGCAGATCCACTCGTTATATGACCATTTCAGATCGGTGACATATTGACTCAAAACGTTCCTCACCAATTAGTCTATTGAGATAAAGCATTACAGTATTGCTTGAGAAGTGAAAGAAAAGAGTTTCACCTGATACTGTTGACTTCATTTGGTCTGATTATTCAATTTAAAGTGAGTATGTTAAAAACAAGAAGTATAATTATAATTACAACATTAACTCACAAAGTTGGGGTTTAAAATATAGTTGAGTATTTAAAAACATTTCCAAAAGGCAATTATATCTGGGCTTCGTCAACAACTGAGGATAAAAGGTGGGCTTACCATGAAAGCCCAGAGACAGAAGAAACATGTCCTGCCTCCTCACTTGTGTTATGTATCCATGATGGGCAAGAGAACATGGGTTTCTTTCAGAGAGAATAACTGCTCTAAGCACTCTGTTGTAGAATTTATTTTATCAGAAAATTTTTTATATTCCTCCAATTGTCAACTTTTATCTTCCCATCGGGAAACAAATATGTTATTTCTCAATCTTAAAAATTATCTCAAAATACTAAAAATCAATAAAATACCCCAATCTAACAAAAATGTCGTCTTACTTCCTCTCTAGGCTATCCTCTCACTTTTCTGCTTTCTCTTCTAACAAGAAAACCTCGAAGGAGTTGTCTGTCTTTATTATCTTAAATTCTTCTCCTCTCCACTGTTGAAGCCACTCCAATGAACTTTTGTCCCCCAGTGTTCTACCAGAATCACTTTGGTGGGAGTCATCAACGATATGTGCATCCTGAAATCCAGTTTTCAACTCTTGGTATTCATTTTCATTGACCTCCCAGCACTATCTCATGGTGACTCCTCTGCTTTCCTGGAAAGCTGCCTCTATTGTCTTTCAGGACACCACGGGCTCATGCCTCATGGGCCTCTCCATCTACACCCACGTCCTTCATGAGCTCACTCAGTCTCACAGGCCACGCACACACGAGCCCCTATATTATACCAGGTAAAATCCAGAAATTGCTTAGGAATATTTAGAATTCAACAACTCACTGAAAATAATTAAAGATGAACAATTATGTAAGTCAAAATAACGGATAAAAGCTTTTAAAAGAAAATCAGATCTCATCTGCAAAGGAAACAATATCTAGGATTATATGTAATATGAATGTGCTATAGTTATACAATGAAAACGCCAAAGATTTTGTAAATCACACTGACCGAAATAGTCACTGGAGAAAAGAAAGGCCACCCTAGGTTTCTCTTTTGCACATATCAAAATTCTTCTCCACGTCTGGTGTCATTATAACACCTGCTAAGTGGGAGCTCTTCCTAGACATTCCTGTCCTTCTACTGGGAGCTCATGGCTTCTCTCTTGGACATATAAGAGCACCCCTTATGTTCCAGCTTCCAAGCAGCAGGCCAAGCCACTTTTCTAAACGACCAACACCAGGAACGCCTTAATTCTCCATATGGATGTCAGCACCTGCACGTAAGGGTGTGGCTATTCATGATTTAGAATAATGTATGCACAGAAAGAAAGAGTCATTTTCTCACAGATCCAGCTATTTGGGAGAATGGCAGTTGATGGGTTTTTACAGACATGAAGTCTCAGAGGGAGAGGTTCTGGGGAAGAGACAAACCTATCAGCACAGGGCACCGGTCAGAACACAGAGTTTGTCCTGAAAGCGACGGTGTAATGTCAGGTTCCATTCTTTACTTCTTACCAGGACCAGAATTCTGTGAGTAGACACAGCTCAAATGTTTTCAGGAATGGTGACATGGTGACAGGACTGTGGGCATGGGGCTACATTGATTAAAGCATGATTGGAGAGCTGAAAAGGTAGAGGATCAGATGACCTAAAGTAGTTAAGTTATTGCAATGATGAATGGTACATCGATATTTTGTTATTAATGCAATAGATGGAGAATGATCGATAGAGAAGTATACCAAATAACATGCCTAATTAATAACTATATTCAAAATAAGATCTGAATACCCTATCTGGACACTCAAAGAATAACAAAAGCAATTCTTATTAGCTCCAGGTCAGAAAATGATGGTCCAGGGTTATTGCCTTGTCTCCAATAGCTGTTTTTGCATCTCTGACCTCACAGTAAAAAAAAAAAAAAAAAAAGTTTTTGTAAATCTCGTGATAAAATGAATGTCTGTAGGCTGAAAAAGCTTTCTTACTGCATTCTATTGCAAAATAAGATCTAAGTTAAAACTAAAATAAGAACCCTGCCACATTGCTGCTGTCTTGGAAATTAACTTTAAAACCTAAAGAACTGGAGACAATTCATTTAAACTTAGAATTGCTCTTCGCCTCATCTTTTCCCTCCTGCTACTCCAGCCACGGTCGCTGGGATTTCCTGAAATTTCTTCCTTCTATCTGATTTGGCCGGTAGTTGCTAGAACTTCTCCTCCCTGCCCCTTGACAACTAGAGTTCATGAGATAGAGGCGAAACTGGACGTTCTTTATATTTAAACTAAAAGTCTCTTAGACAAACCCTCACTTTCACTCATCAATTCTCTGAATATAAAAATATCACAACCGCAATCACTTCAGGTGACAACATGCCACGTAAGACATTTAACTTGACATACTTGTTTGTTATAGCTAAAACAACCTGAATATGGACACAGACCAATAAGGTCGGCACATTATCGCTGGCAAAAAAAGAGATGGAACTCACTATTTAAATATCATACGAAAAATATTTCCTTCCTTGTAACTGACACAGCCTAGGTTCACATTCATCCACTCGCATTGTTCCGTCAAAGCAAAGCCGACCAAGATCTGTACTTACCTTACTCTCCAGGGTATAAATTTCCAGATGTGATTCTGGAAAGACAAACCCTTTCCATAAAACGGTGTCACCTCTGTCCACAGTAGCAGCCCGTCCCCCCCCCAGGAAAGTAATACATTCACCTGTTGCTCTCATTTGATCATAAACAAAAAACAGAAATGTCTGAAAATTGTTGTTGGGGAAGAAAAATGGAAATATGAAAAATTATTTCACTTTGTTTAAAAAATATTTTGAGATGTTTCCCCAATCTAATCAGGTGTTACACTCCTTTAATACCAAAGTAATTGTGTGACCAAAGATGAATCAATGCTACAAAAGATTGTTAAAATTCGGGGTGAAATATTTACAGTAAATGAACAGAAAATAAATGACTCCATTATGGAAAGAAACCGCTGGAAAAATACTCTCTTTAATAATATGATACACACAACTGTCATTTTTCAAACTTCTTGGTATTAAAAATACATTAAATCATTTAAGAAAACATAGATTCTATATCTCAGCAGTCTGAGCTTTTACCAAAGAAGTGGTTTAAAAGTGGTTATGGAGAGTGTGCCTAAATATAATATATTTTTAGGAAATGGATTGCTCAGGAGATAAAGGTCAAAGCCATGAAAAATAAGTTGTCTGATACTGTATGATGTCTGATGGGTTACTGTCAGTTACTGTCTGATGAAGCTTTCCAAAGTGAGAAGATCCCTGGCTGACTCTCTGTTGTACAAGAGATACCCAAATTGTAGGACATGGATCTCTACCTTCAGTTTGAGATTCTCTAACTGCAGATACTTAGATGTGGATGTCTCGAACACACTGAATAGAATTCTCTTATCATTTCGCATTCACAATTGGTGGCAGGTCTGTAGTTGCAAAAATGACCTTCCACGACAACCTGCCTGAATCCTCTTGCCCTTGACTACCTCATAGCTGAGCATCTCCCTATACACCTGGCTGGTCTGACTGACTTAGGCTTTTTTATAATTCAAACAGACAATTCAGTTGTTATTGTTTAATATTTTATCAAACCAAGTCTTGGCTTCACTGTATTGAACCCCTGTTTCAGGCAAAATGGTGGCACCAAGTGGGAATGCGGTCGAAGCCACAGTAAAATGAGAAAGAGCTGCAGGGGGTCGGAGTACATCTTTTTCTTCCTCCCCCCCACCCAAAAAGGCCTAAAGTAATCTGCCAAACTTCCGCTAGCAGAAAAAGGATTTGGCCTGTGCTTCTGGATACAACAACTCGATTTCTTACTCTCCTGGTCAAGATGATTCATAAACCATCCAGCTCCTTTACTGAGCCTTGACATTTTTAAGCTGCAGCATCAGATGGTATTTTGTGACATGGGGCGATCAGAACAATACATCTGAACCTTGTATTGTACATCACGTTCTTTGTATTTGGAGGGGAAAAAAAAGAAGTCATTTATTAAAGTCCCATAGGGAAAATTCCAGCTTGATGTGTGAAACTGAGTAGGCTGGGCGGTGGTTTTTGACTTGCAGTCTTTATTACACTGGTGCTCGCTGAAACTGAAATGTTTTTGTGTTTCTAACAGAGAAGACCAGTGCTGAGCAGTAAAGGAAATCACTGGGAGCATATATAGTTCAAAGTAGAACGGTTTTTTAAACTCGTTTTGAAGTAACGTGTACATTACAATTTTCTACCAAAACAGTTTGCCTTTCCCTATTCTATATTGTTTACAGCACCCACGATTTGAACCAAAGTTAAAATCTAGAAAGAGAACTGTAGCATGAACTTCAAAAGTGCCAGTAAACGTGGCTAAAGGAGCTAATATGAATACATCAGCCTATGTCAGATACCTAGCTGAAAATGGAAAAAATGGATCCCACCCACAAAATGGTGGCCCCACTCATGGTCAGAGCCTGCTTATTCCTGATTCGGCTTCACTGAACTGCTGTGTTGCGGGTGTATATGTGGGTGTGTATTAAACACAAGAGAAAGATACAGTGAATGATGTCTCTAGGCAAATTAGTTTACGTATCTAGAAGCACAAATCTGCATTGATAATTGAGAGTATGATTGACTTCAATGCAAAGCAATCATTTTTACTTTTTGACATCATCCATCAGAATCATAATTGGGTTCCACTAAATTTCTGGGTATTCCTCAGAGTAGCCTGAATGTGAGTGAAGGTGAGTATTC